GAGATCAGCGCCTTGTCCACTTCTGATCTGGGGGTGATACTAGCTGCTAGCGCTCCCAGGATCTCGTCCTGCACTTAGTGATCTCCAACGTCCAGGGCGACAACAGAGCAGCCCATTGTCCCAGACGTCCTTGCAAAGCCGTGGATCTGAAGAGCCACGCCAAGGTTGAGTGTCGGGTTAGCACGCGGATTGGGCGCCCAACCAACGTATTATAGTTTAGATCCAAGATCCTCAGAAGGGCTAACACCTCCTTTTCCGCGATCCCATAGTTTAACTCATTCGACTTCAGAGTGCGGCTCGCGAACGTCACGGGGTCGTAGATCTGGTCATATTTTTGCATCAAAGCTCCTGAGATGGCCCAGTCGCTAGCGTATACCACCACTGTGGCCCTCCGATCTGGATCAAAATGTCGTAAGATCGGAGTTGTAGCAATCCTAGTCTTAAGCACGTTGAAAGACCGATGGGCGTGGATCCAGCGCGGATCTCAACGTGGATCTACCTCCATAGGATCGGGCGCCTCTGGATCCAAGGTCCTTCGGTGGTCGACGTCCCGATCTTCCTGTGATCTTTGATCTGCGCCTTCTGCTTCCAGTACTTGTTGGATCCGCGCTTGGGTGGCCTCTTTCGTCATCGCAGCAAAGTCGATTTCTCGCAATTCGTAGAGAACCGACGCGTATCCTCAATAAATCGGCTATAATAGTTCAGACTTCCCAGAAATGATTGCATGGCTCTGAGTGATCCTAGAAAGACTAGATCAGTTAATGCAGACAGATCTTTCGGATTCGCCTCCAGTCCATCACACGAGACCTTATGTCCAAGGTACTCCACCTTAGGCATTCCCCAGAAACTTTTAACCACACTGATCGACAGATTCCACTTATCACATGTTTCAAGCAACCCCTCGACCCGGTCACATAGTTGATCCCAGCTATTGGCGGGGATCAGGATATCATCGATATATGATCTGCGACCAAGCACCGATGGCTCGCCTGGATCCACCGGTTCCCCGTCCTCAAACACATCCAAAGTACTTCCGTGATCTTTAGACTTCGGGATCCGGGTGAACCCATATAGCGCGTTGTCGATCATACGTTGATATATCTTGGGCGCATTCTTCAAGCCAAAAGGCATTCGATTCCACTCAAATAACCCAAAGGAAGTGATAAAAGCCGAGATCAACCGAGCACGATCCATCATTTTCACTACCCAAAATCCACTTGCCATGTCCAAGGAGCAGTACCACAGTGTCGACTCCAGATCTTCGAGTAGATCGTTGATCAAGGGCATTGGGTATACCATCAGTTGTGTCAGACTATTAACCAACCGATAATCAATACACAGCCGGATGTCCACCCCATTCTTCTTAATAATCACCACTATGGGTGAAGCCCATGGTGATCTGGAATAGTTGATCATCTTGGCGGACAGTAGACCCTTGATCAGGTCTGCCAGCTTCTCTCTGAACTGGATCCGCAACTTACGACACTTGAGGGCGATGGGTCTTGCTCCTCCGACGTCGATTCGATATCGCACACCACGCCTCTAGCGGCCGGCGGGAGGGCATTTCCTTTCCCGATCAAGAGGTGTCGGAACTTCCAAATCCTTTGGCGAAGTCGCTCGATCTCTCCTGGAGTCTGATTATCAGATCCGCATAGTTGAATGTCTTCGATCCTTACATCTTCCGTCGCCACAGGTACTTCGGGCAGCACCGCCATCTGTCCATCGACATCTTCGGCGTATAGATCGCTTCCTTCATGATAATATACGCATTCATCATAATCTTGATCTGAATCCCAGGTAAGATCCAGATCTGATGTGCCTGGTTGATCTTCCTCTCTGTCCGTTTTCTGCGATATGGACGTGGTACACTTATCATCCAATGGATCACGGGTCGCGTGTCCTGTCCGAGGCCACACACTCATCATTGTTGGCAGATCTGATCCACCACATTCCGCCGGCGATATTCCTTGATCTTGGCCCTTCGAATGTGGTTGATCCAAGCTGACATTCTCCATCACGTTTCGGCCACCCTCTTCTCCTGGTGTTTCCCTGTCCGTGGTTTCCCCCTCCAGTGGATCGGTCGCCCATATGTTCGATGTCGCTTGATCGAGGCCCTCTAGCGCCTCCTTGATCCTTACAACGTGCGACATGGGGTCTTCGTCAGCGATAGACGATAGATCCGACTCTTC